CAACTAGTAAACCCGCGTCCATTTGGGTGTCAGTCTGCGTCTCCGACGCTCACCTCTGGGTTAGATGTTTGTGGGTTCCAACCCTATATTGTAGAGACCTGTAGCTCAGTGGTTAGAGCCCTCGCCGAGCGAGCGAGAGGACCTGGGTTTGATTCCCGGGCGGGGGGCCCAACATTGGGCAAGTTTCCTTACTCCACACACCTCTGTTTACCAGCAGTGAGGAGGAACCCGGTTGTTAGTCGATTGGCGGATCATATTTCTGGGGGTAATAATCCCTTCAAAAAAAATAATAATAATTTGGTCACTTAATCCAAGACTGTTTGGGGGTCACTGCTGTGGGCAATTGGCTGTTGCGTTTCGCCCACAAAAAAGGGCTTTTTGAGGGGTTTTGTGTTTGCTGAATACGTTTGATTTTGTTCATCTGGAGTTCTGCACGATTGCGGGGGAGGGAAGCGATGGGGGTTCAGCTCTTCCCCTTTTTTTGTGCTAAGTATTGCGAAGTTCCCTCTATCGATTTTAATTCTAAATTTTGCCACTTTCCAATTGCGCTGCGACTTTGTCATGAGCCGCAGAGCCACTGGACTGCTGCAGGGGGCAGCACTGAGCCACAGAGGGTATGCTGTGTAACATTGCCACCATCAGGCCCGTGCTGGTACTGCAACTAATAATAATAATAATAATAATAATAATAATAATCCTCGCATTTGATATGGCACCTTATCACATCTTCGAGACGTCTCAAAGCGCTTCACAGAATGTACCGCAAAGTGTAGCGACTGTATATTTTGTGGGCGAAACGCGGCGGCCAATTGCGCGCAACAGTGTCCCCACAAACAGTCGTGGATTGAGTAACCAAATTATTATATCTTTTTTTAATTTTGTCCTCTTGCTTGCGAGGCACGTGCTCTAACCACTAAGCTACAGGACTCCACGAGAGATGTCTCGACAAGGCGCTCCATCAAATGCAAGGATTATTATTATCATCTTGTCTTGTCTTTGGATCACACCCGAAGACCTTCCTCTTCGAGAGCGCTTACAGTCATCTCCCCTAGAATAAATAAGCGATATAGAGGAGCATCAAGATACTTACAGCAACCATCCATTGTCCGAGCCAGCCACCTGCCCTCGGGGTTATCCGTGATGCGAATCACCTCCAGGTTTTCACCCTGTTTGAAGGATAAATCGTTCTTCCCGCCCTTGTAATCCACCGAAGCTTTCACCATCTGGAACACCTCAATTGCTCCCACCACCTTCAATACAGCAAAGACTTTCTTAATAATTTGATGCAGCACCTTATCACGTTAAGACGTCTCAAAGAGCTTCACGGGATACATCGTAAAGTGGATTGACTATTTTGAGGGAAAAACGCAGCAGCCAATTGCGCACAGCAGCGTCCCACAAACACTTATGGATTGAGTGACCAATTTATTTATTTATTCATTTTTTGGAAACTTGCCTAAGGTTTTGCCCTGCCCAGGAATTGAACCCAGGTCCTCTCATTTGTGAGGCGAGCACTCTAACCACTAAGCTACGGGACTCCATGCTTCTCTTCAACTCTCACAAGATTGTCAGAGAGCTTCGGGTGAAGAGGGCCCTTCACCCTGTTTGCTCTCATCTCTCACTCAGCCTCCCACCCTCCCTTCACTCCGAGCCATCCTTGCTCACTCTGTTGAAGTGGATTGACTTCAAGATGTACACCCTGACCTTCACTTCCCACCAGGATCTCACTCCCTCTGCACTTCCCACTCCAGGCTGCTGCTCGCTCCTCCTTCCCACACCAAGGCAGAACCTTCAGTCACTATACCGGCATAGTGGGAGTTGTCAACTGTTGTGGTTTGATCCACTTGTTACTACTTCATTGGCAGATGCTGAGATAGGTCTGGGAACACATCAGAGAGGTTCCATAGAGAGCTTAATCCTTTCAATTCCATCCACCAGATCTTTCTCCATCCTCCTCTACGTGCCTGATTACACCAGGAAATTAAATTTAATAGAGGTGTTCAAAATCATGAGGGGTTTTGATAGAATAGTTCGGGAGAAACTGTTTCCTCTGGCGGGTGGGTCGTTAACCAGAGGACACAGATTTAGGATAATTGGCAAAAGAACCAGAGGGGAGGGAGACAATTTTTTTTTACCCAGAGAGTTGTTACGGTCTGGAATGCACTGCTTGAAAGGCCGGTGGAAGCAGATTCAATAATAGCTTTCAAAAGGGAATTAGGTAGGTACTTAAACAGGAAACATTAGTAGTATAATGGGCTAAGAGCGGAGAGTGGATTAGTTGGGGTAAGAGTGGGACTAGTTGGGGTAAGAGAGGGGGAGTGGGACTAGTTGGGGTAAGAGCGGGGGAGTGGGACTAGTTGGGGTAAGAGCGGGGGAGTGGGACTAGTTGGGGTAAGAGCGGGGGAGTGGGACTAGTTGGGGTAAGAGCGGGGGAGTGGGACTAGTTGGGGTAAGAGCGGGGAGTGGATTAGTTGGGGTAAGAGTGGGGCAGTGGGACTAATTGGGGTAAGAGCGGGGGAGTGGGACTAGTTTGTAGCTCTTTCAAAGAGACAGCACAGGCACAACACAACACAAAATTACACTTGTATAACATCTTTCACGTCGAGAGGATGTCCCAAGGTGCTGGAATGGGGCGAATGGTCTCCTTCTGTGCTGTAAGATTCTACGATTTTATAATGGTATAATGCTAATGGTGTTGAATTAAAGGGATGGGGCTGAACTACAGTTAGAATGGTGCATTAGTGTGCTGGAGACACGAGGAGCATTGAGACCAGCTCAGCATAATAGCATAAGCATTTGCGCGGCTAAAGATGACAACAACTTGGATTTATATCGCGCCATTCACGCACGGTAGAGTTCCAGAGCGCTTGACAGTGGCGGAGTCTGACATTGAGCCGGTGTGGGGGTGACCTTAAGCAAGACCAAAAAAGGGCTTTAAGTGGGATTTGAAGGTGGGGAGGGAGGGGGTAAGGCAAAAGGATTGAGGGAGAGGGTTCCAGAGTTTCGGGGCGTACTGGCTGAGGGCACGACCACCGACGGTGGAACGGAGGGCATGAGGGACAAACAGGAGGCTGGAGGCAGTCGAGCGGAGGGGGGAGTGGGGGGTGAGCAGGTCGGGGAGGCAGGGAGGGGCGATTTGAAAATGAGTGAGAGGATCTTGAAGTTGATCCGTTCAGTGATTGGGAGCCAGTGGAGCCTGACGCGGACTTGTGTGGTGGGGTCTACCAAGGTTGGTCTCCACCATCCTGGCAGCCGCTTGACATGTCGTGTTCCAAACTATATATTATATCCCCAGATATTATTTTCCAGCGGATATCTATCTAATTTGTTCTTGAAACAACCAACACTTTCTGCTTCCACTACCTGTCTCCCTAGGGAGCCTGTTCTATACATTTATTACTCACTCCCTGAAGTAGTGTCTCTGCAGATTTGTTCTGAATTTACCCCCATTAATCTCAGGCCGTGTTGCCTGGTTCTACAGTTCAGTACGAGATAGAACAGCTTATCATGATCTACATTATCTATTCCCTTCGGAACGTTGAAGCAGTTGGTGATGGTTCAGGATTAATCATTACCTTAAACCGCTTCCGAATGTCCTGTTCCTTCTTTTCTTTCTCTCTCTGTTCTCTCCGTTCCTGTTCCTGTCGCTTCCTGTCATCCTTTTCTCTTTTCTTCTCCATTTCCTTGATGTCCTTCCGTGACCTGCGAGAGGGGCAGGTGGCCGAGAGCAATCAAAGGCTTTCTAATAGCAATGTGTCTCACTCCTCCCTACCTCTGTGACCTGCTAACGCCATATCGACCTGTCCGCTCCCTCTGCTCAGTAGGCTCCAGCTTGCTCCACATCCCCTGCTTGGTTCGCCCCATCATTGCCATTCGAGCCTTCAGCCTCTCTGTCCCCACCCTCTGGAACTCCATCGCACAGTCCCTTTGCTTCACACCCTCCTTCGCCTCCTTCAAGGCACATCTCAAGACCCTCCTCTTCAACTGCGCATTCGGTCACCCTCCTACCCCCACCCTCCCTGCCCATCCACCCCTCCTGATCCCAACCTCCAACTCAGGTCCAAATCTCTAACTATCCAGTGCTTTGGGATGTCTTCCTGACATGAAAGACACTGTAAATGTCATGTGTTGTTGTTGTCGCTGATGCTTTCAATCCACAGTTAATCTGCAATCCTGAATAGAACTCTACCACAGGATAATAGTTTAGTCGCTCACACTCTCGCCTCAGGAGCAGGAGGTTTGTGGGTTCAAGCCCAACATCAGAGACTAAGCTCACATCTGGGCCGACGCTCCAATGCAGCGCTGGGGGAATACTGCAATGTCAGAGGCCATCCGTCAGATGAGACATCACATCGAGCTCCCTGTCTGTGTCTGTTGAGGTGGATAATAAGGTTTAAGGGTAAAGGGGTAGAGGGTAAACATTAGGCTATACCTGTAGCTGTCCAGATCCTCATACATCTCTCCACCGGAATCCTCGTTCTGAAAACAAAAGTGTCATTTTAATCTTCGTCAGTTTAATCACCTTTAGCTTCTCCGATGTCAAACGTTAGGGCTTTGCTCACAAGAGCTGAATACTGCAGACCTGCTTGGCCCAGGAAACGGTCTGGAGACCATCACAGAGGCCTGGCTCGATTCCCACATTCCATTGCCAGGCATGTCACCTTGGGGCCAGTTCGGCTCCGAGGAGACCCCGCTAACCTCATCCCCAAGGAGGATAGTCACAGAATCTCTATCAGAGTGTGTTATACAGCGAGTTTCTCTGTCATGGCTTTGTTATACAGTGAACTGCATTGAATTTTGGGCACTGTACCTCAGGAAGGATATATTAGCTTTGGAGGGGGTGCAGAGCAGATTCACCAGAATGATACCGGGGTTTAAAGGGTTAAATTATGAGGACAGGTTGTATTAACTCGGTCTGTATTCCCTGAGGTTAGAAGGTTGAGGGCTGATCTGATTGAGGTGTGTACCATGATAAAGGGATTCGATAGGCAGCGACAGAGAAACTATTGCCTCTGGTGAGGAATCCAGAACAAGGCATCATCTTAAAATTAGAGCCGGACATTTAGCAGTGAAATCAGAGGCCGGTTTTCACCCAAAGGCCAATGGGAATCTGGAACTCTCTCTCTCTCTCTCCCCCCAAAAGACCTTGGATTATAACTGGATCCTTTCACATTGTCCAGCCTGAGGTGGAGAGATGTTTGTTAGGTCGGGGATCCAGGGATATGGGGCAAAGGCGGGTAATTGGAGTTGAGGTACAGATCAGCCATGATCGAAGATTATGGTGGAACAGGCTGGAGTGGCTGAATGGCCTCTCCTGTTCCTATGTTCTATGTTGCTGTAGACCTGGCCGGGGAGATGGAATCACAGGGATTATCTGATGTAAAATCTCACCTCTTCGGGAGAGTTTGACCGTTTCTGGCGATCTGTAATTATAAATGTGATTACATTGTAAATAAGTACAAATCAGATCATTGAACTGAGAGCTCAAACACACACTCAGATAGTCAGCACAACAACTAACCCACTCTTTCTCTCTCTCTCTCTGTTTTCTCTCTCACCCTTTCCCCCTCTGTGTCTTTCTCATTTCTTCCATTATTCTCTCTCTTTCTCTGTTTCCTTTTCTCTCTCCTCCCGTTGCTTTCTATCTTTCCAGTTCTATTTTGTTATTTTTCTCCCTCTCTCTCATGGAGACCTTGCGGAGTACTGTAGCTCACTGGTTGAAGCCCTCGCCCCGCAAGCGAAAGGACTTGGGTTTGATTCCTGGACAGGGCAAAACATTGGGCAAGTTTCCTTACCCCACACGCCTCTGTTTACCAGCAGTCAGTAGGAACTCGGTTGTTAGTCGATTGGCGGATCACTTTTTCGGGGTAATAATCCCTCCAAAAAAAATAATAATTTGGTCACTCAATCCACGACTGTTTGTGGGACACTGCTGTGCGTAGTGTTTTGCCCGTAAAATATACAGTCACTACACCTTACAGTGTATGCTGTGAAGCGCTTTGAAGGCGTGATAAAGCGCTGTATCAAATGCAAGGATTATTATTATGAAATGTGAGACGAGGCGTTCAGAGCACAGTCAGACAGTGGAGCTGTGAGGAGGCCGAGCATACCTTCTAGTTTCAGTGGGGGGAGCGGGGGAGGTAAGGGTCCTGCTGGGGAGACATCATCATAGTTCTGATCCTCCTCGTCCATCGGCAGCCTGTGGGCAAGAAGAAGGGTAATGCAATGGGAATACACTGAGCCCACACACCTACACACCCTCACACACCCATACACTCTCACACACACCCACACACACCCTCAAACACACCCACACACACCCACATACATACACACCGTCACACCCTCACAGACACGCACTCACACACACATACCCCCACACTCACACACCCACACACACACACACACACAGCCAGCCCTCGACTCCTCAGCCTCCACACCAATCCCTTACAACAACAACTTGCAGGGTAGTGTCCCAGAGCTTGACAGTGGCGGAGCACGATGCCGAGCCGGGGGGAGGTGACCTTAGGCACTGTCAAAGAGGAAGGTCTTCAGGCGTGATCTGAAAATGGGGAAGGAAGGGGCAAGGTGGAGGGATAGAGGAAGAGTGATCCAGAGTTTCGGGGCGTAGTGGCTGACAGCGAAACCACCGATGATGGACCGGAGGGAATGAGGGACAAATAGGATGGAGTCAGCTGAGTGGAGGCAGCGGGTGGTGGAGTGGGGGTAAGCAGGTCGGAGAGGATAAGGAACACATTAGGAAACAATTCTGCCAATTTCTCCCCTTTGTTGATATAATAAACAGGTGGAACAGGCTGAGGGGCTGAATGGCCTCGCCCTCCCTGTGGTACTCACGTGTTGTCTGGAGCTTTCCCGGGCTGTGGCCTGGGAGGCAGACTGGGTCCTGCCGGGGCCGGGGCCGGAGGCTGCTTATTAGCCAGTTTGTTAAAGGCTGCAACATAGCAACACAGAGTGAATTACCATCTAGTCACCATCAGTCACCAACTCAGTCCGAACCTGTCTCCCCCTCCTCTCTCATCACCACTATAATCCGCATGAAACCGACCACCTGCTCCCTCGACCCCATCCCTATCTGTCTCCTTACCTCCCAGCTTCACCTCCTTCCCCTCTGATCACTGACATCGTAAACCTCTCCCTGTCCTCTGGTGCTGTTCCCACCCCTTTAAAAACGGCCGTCATCACTCCTTAAAAAACCCTCCCTGAACCCTTCTCCACTCCCTAACTACTGCCCCATCTCCAACCTCCCCTTCCTCTCCAAAGTCCTGGAACGAGTTGTTGCTTCTCAGCTTCGTTCCTTCCTCTCCCGTCACTCCCTTCACAAACCCCTCCAATCGGGTTTCCGTGCCGCCCACAGCACAGAGACAGCTCTGGTCAAAGTGACAAATGACATTCTGTCCATCTGCGACCAGGGCTCCCTCTGCCTCCTCGTCCTCCTTGACCTCTCTGCTGTTTTCGACGCTGTTGACCACTCTATCCTCATCCACAGTCTCTCCTCTCATCTCAACTTTCACTGTTTTGTCCTTGACTGGTTCAGATCAAATCTCTCACACCGCCTCCACTTCATCTCCTCAAACGGTTTCTCCTCTAGTCCCCGGATTGTCTCGGGCGGTGTTCCTCAGGGCTCTGTCCTTGGTTCCCTCCTCTTCAACATCTATGTGCTCCCTCTTGTGACGTCATCTGCAGACATGGGGTCAACTTCCACATGTATGTGGATGACACCCAACTCTCCCTCTTGACTCCAGGACCCACTGCTGTCCTGACAGAATGTCTGTCACACGTCAAGTCCTGGATGAGGGCAAACTTTCTACAGTCAACAAGACCGAGGCTCCTGATTGGCTCCCGTCAGCGCCTCCTCACCTCAGGCGCCGACAGCATCACCATCCCTGGGGCTCACTCCCCCTCACTGCGCCAGTCCAGGAACCTTGGGGTCTGGTTTGATCCTCAGCTATCTTTTCTACCTCAAATTTGTGCCATGACCTGCTCTGCCTTCCCCACCTCCGCAACATGGCCCGACTCCCCCACCGTCTCACACCACAGCCCCCGAGACCCTCACACACACCTCCATTACAGCCAGACTCCACTATGCAAACTCCCTCCTTGTCGGCCCCCAACTCCTCCCTCCACAGACTGCAGATCATCCCGAACTAACTCTGCAGCCCGTGTCCTCTCCCCCACCCCATCACCCCCATCATCACCCCTACCAGGGTCCCTCACCGCATCACCCACATCCTCACCCCCATCAGGCTCCCCGACTATATCACTTCAATCCTCATACCCACCAGGCTCCCCGACTTCATCAAACCCATCCTCACCCACACCAGGCTCCCCGACTCCATCACCCCATCCTCACCCCACCTGGCTCCCCGACCCCATCACCCCCATCCTCACCCCCACCGGCTCCCCGACCCCATCACCCCCAAGCTCACCCCCACCAGGCTCTGGACCCATCACCCCCATCCTCAACCCCACCAGGCTCCCCAGCCCCATCACCCCCATTCTCACCCCACCAGGCTCCCCGACCCCATCACCCCCATCCTCACCCCCACCAGGCTCCCCAACCCCATCACCCCCATCCTCACCCCACCAGGCTCCCGACCCCATCACCCCCATCCTCACCCCCACCAGGCTCCCCGACCCCCACCCCCCCATCCTCACCCCCACCGGCTCCCCGACCCCATCACCCCCAAGCTCACCCCCACCAGGCTCTGTGAACCCATCACCCCCATCCTCACCCCCACCAGGCTCCCCGACCCCATCACCCCCATCCTCACCCCCACCGGCTCCCCGACCCCATCATCCCCATCCTCACCCCCACCAGGCTTCCCGACCCCATCACACACTTCCTCACCCCCACCAGGCTCCCCGACCCCATCACCCCATCCTCACCCCCACCAGCCACCCGACCCCATCAACCCATCCTCACCCCAACCTGGCTCCCCGACCGCATCACCACCATCCTCACCCCCAGCAGGCTCCATGACACTATCACCTCCATCCTCACCCGACTCTTCTGACTTCGCATCATACAGAGGATACAGTTCAAGATCCTGGTTCTCACCTTCAAAGCCCTCCATGGTCTTTCTCCCCCCCACCTCCTCGACCTCCTAACCCCCTACCATCCTGCTCACTCCCTCCGCTCAGTGGCCTCTGGTCTGCTTCATGTCTGCCACTTTGCCAGCCCCACCACTGGCAGGTGGGCCTTCTGCCACTCTGCCCCCACCCTCTGGAACTCCATGCTGCAGTCCCTCCATCTCACCCGCTCCCTCGCCACCTTCAAGACCCATCTCACGACCCTCCTCTTCGACCGTGCTTTTGATCACTCTGCTTCCCCCCCTGCTCTCCACCCTCCCCAATTGTGACCCCCAGCTTGGGTCCGAAACACTGACTGTCCAGCGCCTTGGGACGTCCTCCCAACATGAAAGGCGCTTTACACATGTCATTTTGTTGTTGTTGTCAGTCACCATGAGACACCGTCATCTCCAGCACCCGAAAGGATTGTGAGAGACCTGATATGTTATGGTTTTTACATTATGTAAGTTATCGTTTCCGCTACTGACATAAGAGTGACACCCCAGGCTTATCACAATAATAATAGTCCTTGTATTTGATATAGCGCCTTATCACTTTGAGACATCTCAAAGTGCTTCACAGGATATACTATAAAATGGATTGACTGCACTTTTTGGGGGCGAATCATAGCAGTCAACTGTGCTCAGGTGTCCCACAGCCAGTCGTGGATTGAGTGACCAAATTATTATAATTTATTTCGTTTTTTTTATGACTTGGAAAGCAGGATCCTGATGACCAATGCACTGACTGCTTAGGTGTGGTGAGGCGGGCAGGGGCTGCCCGAAGTATCTCCCTAGAGGACACCTTGTTGGTTTGAGCTTACGTGATGATCAGTTGATTTCATCTTGTGGGTTTGCGGGTTTGTGAATCCATCGGAGGGTTTTGTCATCTTTGTAGTGTTCAGTCCTGGTCTGAATGGTTGCATGATTGGCCTAACCACAGAGACTAAGTGTGCGAGTGTGTGTGTGAGTGTGTGTGTGTGGTGGGGGGAGCAGATATGGGTGGAGATATCAAGCTAGCCTTTCATGAGAGCACACAGCACTGGCTGGTCTCAATAATAATAATACTACTAATCCTTGCATTTGATATAGAGCTTTTCATGTCTTCTCGACGTCTCAAAGTGCTTCACAGAATATACTGTAAAGTGAATTGACTGTATATATTTGGGTGAAACGGGGCAGCCAATTGCACACTGCAGTGTCCCACAAACAGCCGTGGATTGAAAGTGACCAATTTATTATTGTTTTTGGAGGGATTACTATTAGGTGTGTGGAGTAAGGAAACTTGCCCGAGGTTTGGCCCTGTCTGGGATTGAACCCAGGTGTCTCGCTTGCAAAGCGAGTGCTCTAACCACTGAGCTGCAGGACTCCAATAAGACTACTAATAATAGTCCTGGCATCTAATATAGTGCCTCATCACGTCTTCTGGACATCTCAAAGCATTTCACAGAATATACAGAAACCCTCACACACGCTTTCATTATATCCAGGCTCGACTATGCAAACTCCCTGCTTGTCGGCCCCCAACTCCTCCCTCCATAGGCTGCAGATCCTCCAGAACTAACTCTGCAGCCCATGTCCTCTCCCCCACCAGGCTCCGTGACCCCATCACCCCCATCCTCGCCCCCACCAGGCTCCTTGACCCTATCACCCCCATCCTCGCCCAACTCCACTGGCTTCCCATCACACAGAGGATACAGTTCAAAATCCTGGTCCTCACTTTCAAAGCCCTCCATGGTCTTGCTCCTCCCTACCTCTGTGACCTCCTACCCCCCTACCATCCTGCTTGCTCCCTCTGCTCAGCGGATTCCAGCCTGCTTCACGTCCCGCACCTTGAACGGCCTTCTATTGGCGGATGGGCCTTCAGCCACTCTGTGGACTCCATCCCACAGTCCCTCCGTCTCACCCCCTCTCTCGCCTCCTTCAAGACCCATCTCAAGACCCTCCTCTTCGACTGTGGTTTCGATCTCCCTGCTTCCCTTCCTGCCCTCCACCCTCGCCGATCCCGATCCGACCCCAGCTCGGGTCCATAACTCTGTCTGTCCAGCACTTTGGGACATCTTCCCAACGTGAAAGGCGCTTTACACATGGAATTTTATTATTGTTATTGTAAGGAAACTTGCTCAACGTTTCGCCCTGCCCGGGAATTGAACCCAGGTCCTCTCTTGCGAGACAAGTGCTTTGACCACTGAGCTACATGACCTCTTGCAATGGAATTAATAGGTCCAGCTCCCAAGTACTGTGTCCAGCTGTGGTCAGGCCACATCTGGAAACTGTCCAGCTCTGCTAACGAGACACAAGGAACAGTGGTTGAGGCAGAATATTAGCTTTCAAAAGGGAACCAGATAAATAGGATTAAACTGTGGAGTGCTGGAGCTCAGTGGTTAGAGCACTCGCCTCGCAAGCGAAGAGGACCAAACCTTAGGCAAGTTTCCTTACTCCACGCCTCTGGTTACCGAGCAATAAGTAAGAACCCGTTTGTTAGTCGATAGGCAGATCACTTTTCCTGCGATAATCTGGTCACTCAATCCACAATGCTGTGCGCAATTGGCTGCCGCGTTTGTCCACAAAATATACAGTCACTACACTTTGCAGTATATTCTGTGAAGCGCTTTGAGGGGTGATCAGGCGCTATATCAAATGCAAAGATTATCATTCTAAACTATAGGGGTAGGGAGGGTTAGTGGGGGGTGTAGCGGCGGGGATGGGGGGGGAGGGAGTGTAGCGGGGAGGGCGGAGCAGTGGGGTAGAGGGGGGAAGAGCATGGAAATGGGGCTGAAATGGTGCACAGACACGATGGGCTGAATGGACGCCTTCTGTGTGTAAATGTCTATGATTGAGCTGAGGTCACGGCTCAGATCTC